ATGTGCCACTGAGGTATATCCGCAGCCCTGGGATATCAGTTTAAAACAAATCACGGAGGCACTATTTCAAAAACATTTTTATCATCTACTCCCAGGAAGCATTAATAGGTGCATGGTGTTGAGGACACAGAAAATAAGAGTTTCTCTATGATTTTCCAAATGAAGTAGTGTGCCTAATTCTGCCCCATTTTAAGAGGTGCGTTGAGGAATTGGTTCAGACAGCACGTCAAAGGACTGACTGTCATATCATTTGTGACATGATTATAAAGTAGTGTGATAGTTGTCTTTACATATTTTTAAAGATCTGTTCTATGCAAAAGTTATTAGAATTTTTGCCTGTTTATACAAAGTGAAAATTAAAGGGAAGGAAACTACCATAAAAATAAAAATATTATCAATACTAATTAATAATAAAATGGGCTTTCAGAATGTCATTGGAGTTTTGTTTAGGGAATAGATTTTAATAGTTCTCATCACAAATAACTTATAAATATGTGAGGTAATGCATATGTTAATTAGATTAATTGAGCTACTCTGTACTATGTATATATACTAAATATTTCATAAGTCAATATGATAAATACATACAATTTTTATTCACCAATTAAAAAATAAATTGTATAATATCTGTTCTAGACTTTTGAGAAGAGTCTTGTTTCTATGTATCTTCTGACTTTGAACTACCTAGATCACTGTGTGTGTGAAGGTCCCATCCGTCTGTTCTGTTCCTTTTTCTCAGCAACAGGAATGGCCCAATGTTTTGAGCAAATATAACCTTAACAAATGTTTTTGAGTATGTGACTATTGAATTTACATTGATGCACTTTAGCAATAAGCTAAGGCCAGTATATGCAATGCAGTAATAATCCAGATTTTTTACCTTTATTTGAATATGTGATTGTTGAAACAAAAAGAATATATATGTGGTTTTGCTACAAACTATGCAATTACTACAGGTTCTTGTGTATCTTCTCATCTGTTTAGCAGATACTATGTAAAAACCCATAGACATGTAGTCCCAGCACTTGGGAGGCAGAAATCAGGAGGATCACTACTAATGTGGGCTATGTAGTGAGACCCTGAGCAAAAAAAAAAAAAAAAAAAAAAAAAA